TTGAATGCTATCTTGCAAACCTTTTACTGTCCGATTCGCACCTTGCAGGGAACAAATAGTATATAGAAGGAGCGAGGTCATTACGATTACCGAGTAGCTGATGATGTTTTCAGTCGGTGGAATGATAACAATGTTGTCACATACTTTTTGAAAATTGGCAATTAATCTGCCAACGCTGGTCCAATGAAGAAAAAGCCAAAGTGCAAGTACCTCAGCCATACTTATTTCAAATTATAATAATATGGGTGGAGTAGAAAATGTGATGAGGCTGTGGCAATACGAACTCGATGTAAAAGAAATGGTGGTGCCATTTGCTATTTATTAGACGTTTCGGTTGTAAATGCCTGGCTACTCACGGAAAATGGCTGCACAAGAGATACTGAGTCTTTATTCGTTAGACCTTCATAGCAGAGCTTACTTCGACACATGGCACACCACACATAAGGTCCAGCCGGCACTTTCTAGATACGCGGTAAAAACATTGGCTGGTTCCAATAAATACTGAACGTCGGTTGCAAAAATGTGGAGGAAAAAGTAAATTTCAGTGTCAGAATTGTGTAGGCCTTCACCCGAATGTACATGCATACCACATTTTAAATTAAAATATGTTTATTTTCTGTTACTTTCTATAATAAATTTCTTTATAAAATCCGTACTTTTATTTTAATCTTTTTTAACTCAATTGTGTCCGCCATCAAACGTCCATATCGGACGGGCTATAAAATCTGAACTTTCACAAAAACTAAGTATTTTATGTCAGTTAATTGTCGAATACACTCTAATTATATTTTTTGTTTCGTCATTTAAAAACGTTAGAAAACTTATGACTAATGGGTTAAGTTAAACGGTTTTATTTTTTGTGCACTAGGAGTTTTTTTAAATTTAGACATAATCATCGTGTTTTACTAGTGTGCAGCCCTTTCATTTGACACCCACGAAGGGGTGATCCGCCATTTTGTACCGGCGGCCATCTTGGATTTATAATGTTTTTTATTTATTATGATATTGTAAATTAAATGTAAGTACAAATTTCAAATCAATCTGACAGGAGGTCTTAAATTTTTAATTTTGACTCAAATAAATAAATTCCGTACGGGTCGAGCTACATAAAACCTTTTATTAAACAACATTTTGTAGAGTTTCGTATTGAAAGGGTAAAACGGAATATTATTAAAACTACAAGCCCCCCTTTAAATATTTACTTTTTTCAATTATTATTACTTTTCAAATACTGGTATATTTAGGGATTATTTAAAGTAGCCTTTATTATATAATTAGTGTGTTTTTTATGGCTATTAATTGCAATTTTATAGGTATAAGTAATTTTTGTTATAATATCTTTACTATGTGTATTTATTCGACATCAAAATACACATTTCTTTTTTATATCAATTATTTGGCTATCGTATTTCTTGAGAGATCCAAACCAGACAAAGACACAACACATAACATACATCATGTAAGTAGCTTATTTTAAAAGGTATATTTATACTGTAATTTAATACCAGTCTCATTAGTTGCTATGCGGAGTGGCTCATTTTAATAAAACTAAGAAAATAAACAAAATCCTAAACAGATGCACGCAGATGGTAAAACCTTGACAAAGAGTAAATAAACAAAATTAATTAATATCAGAAGGATGTTGAGTAATAATGATAACACTTCATAGGAATTTCGTGAATCACAAAGAGTTTTAGACCAGAAAAATACTGAGACATATGTGCATATATTTTGTCTGGCTTGGTGGGATATTTTACTGCAAACGGGTCGCAGGTTCGATTTCCACGGGAGAAAACATATCGAAATATATATTTTTTTAATATGTGTTACAGTCCCCGGTGGAGTAGTAGAAATGTCTATATCCCCACAAAGCGTCGGTGTCATCTACAGGAAACAATCATAAAGTTTACCTTCGTCCATAGATAAAATAGGCCAACAGCGCATCTTATTATATTATAGGACCACCATGCTTGTCTATCAGTCTAACAAATAAAAAACATGGAGTTATTTTCAGCCGGCTTTAAATTACAAGAATTTTTTACTATAGATCGTTATCACATAATTACCAGGGCAGCAGATCGCGTGAGGATTGTGCTGAGTAATCAAGTCTAGTCTAGACAGATAATAAACGATATAGGTATCATAAACTGCGCTTAGCATTCGGTGAGCTTAAAGATTTACGAAGCGATTGTTTTGTTATGTAAACCCGGCATGTTTCCTGTATTGATAATAACCTGCTACATTTTACCTGTAAAGCTTGAACGTTTGAAATGCACAGGTAAATTACAATACTATCATTTCATACTCTTGATAGCCGGTTGGTCTAATGGTAGCAATATATGGTTAATAATCAACGAGTCGTGGGTGCGATTCATATCGGTTACAACATATTTCTTTTTTATAATTTTTCGAAAACATGTTGGACTTCGTCTGGAAATTTGGCTAGTAAATGGATAACGAACCACCAATCCACAGTGAAAATGTCGTGATATTTAATGGCGTTTTATTTTCAGTCGTGGATTACGGATTTTCTAAGCCAAAAGCCTCTCCTCTTCTATCATAAAAAATATCACTTGTGAGAACTTAATACATCTCTCTTTACTCTATACTGTTTAAATAGTTGATCTCCTAAAACTTCTACAGTCCTAGGAAGTGCGCGTTTAATCATTGGGGTCATATCACTTTTAGGAGGCATTATTAATGTAGACCAGACCACCAACTAAGAAGCCCATCACTCCAATTTAGTGCCCATCATCACGTCACACTAATAAAACATCGTCTGATATGCATTATCATAAATAATTAACGTGTGAAGCAATTTTAATGAAGTTAACAATAAATTTCGTTATAATAACCATCGGGGTTTTAACCTCGATACAAAAGACATGTATCAGAAACAATTTTTGCACAAATTTCTGCACAGTTATACCTATAAAAATATATTCTAAACAATACTGATCTTATTTATTAGGAAACGCGCATAAACGTCAAAATTGGCCAGAGAAACCCTGAATTTTCAGGCCATGGATTTAAGAAAAGCGCAACATGTAGGGGCTTTGGCATTTCACCTGCCATGGTTCTAAGTGTGTCCTTTGCCATAACAAGTCTAATCTTAAGTATTGTCTGTAGTTTACGCGAGTGGGACATATTTAAATAAAATACCTTCAACGGTTTAAAACTCTGCAAAGCATCCGAAACGTTGGATCGTATATAAATGAAATTAAAAATAAGTTTACAAATATTTTTAACGTTTCGAACTGTTAAAAGTGTTTGCTTTAAATCAAACTTATCTATAAACACCACAAAAACATAACACATACTATTACTTTAAAAATTACGTTTGTACAAAGTAATATTATGTTGTCAAGAAGGAAATATGGGTAATTATGTTCAATCGTCACCATTAATGGGACTCCAGCCATGTTCAGAGAAAGTGTAGGATGGCAACCGACACATTAATCTTACCAGAAATAGTTATAAATTCTTAACCGACCATCCGATGTACACTTTATAAGATGTAGTCTATTTTTATTTCATTACAAACTAATAACAGAACATTATTCTTCCGTATATCTGATGAAAGGAGGTATTTTTATTTGTGTATAAATTATTATCACAGATAACAAAAGGTGTGGACAGATTAAATATTTTAAAAAGCAGCTTACTATAAAAACCTTTCCAACACACAAGATCGTGTTCAAAATGTCATGAATAGTTACTTATGACCATATTTTACTAAAAAAATTACTAAGTACTTGTACGAGATATAGCGAAACTCGTTACATATAAACAACTAATTCACCTATCAATTTAAAATACACGCAAGTAATTAAGTAGACTTCTACCTGACTTACTTTATTTTTGTGTCTCCGAGTACCGAACTTAGTACCTTTCGCGCGTAACGCACTACTAGACGTATAAGCATAGAATATGTTTAATTTCACCATAGTGAACTTGAAAACGGCGATACTCTACAATCGACGCAGGTTTATCTTCGCGAAACTTATAATATCCTGGTAGTGTTGTTTATATGAATATTGGACACAATGGCGCAACAATGTTTCTATTTTTTTTTGCAAGAAACTTTGGAATTAAGGAATCCTTTGGAATTTAGGCATTAAAATGCATCCACACCCGATTCTGAGAATCACTTTCAACCGTGGTCCGTTTAATTGCATCTTCCCATCGGGTTCGCTGAACTTGCATCGCGCCAGATGGTACAAAAAAAATTTTATTTTCCATTTAATTATGACTAGGCATGCTAATTTCAAAGAACCTGCCCGCGCCATGTATTCGGAAACAATTAAACCTTTTAGAGCGGCCATTCTGTATTTAGGTGAGCCCGGTAGCCCTTTGCGCAATGACTGACCGTTTTGGGCCCACGTGTTTTGACAGATGCTCATAAATTGCTCAAATATTCGGTCATGTTTGAGTTATAGGGAACATAAAACTAAAAGAAACAAATGAAAAATGTTTACGATGATCTTCCTATTCAACCTAGTTGCACAAATATGTACGCGAAGTTTCCCAATTTAAAATAACTCCAATAACCTACGACGATGATATTTTAACTGGATTGCAAAAATTAATGACTTTTATAAGATTATTTACGTTTTCACAAGACTTATGTCGCGAATCAAGTTTGCAGTGTGGACTACGCACGTAAATTATGTATTTTACATACATTAAAACATTTGTATGTGTCATTTTTTATAACAACGGAAATACATACACGGTAGAACAATGGCCGCCTGTCTTGTTTTGGATGACTGACTATTCGCAACAAAGTGGTGTCGACTGTCTGCACTCTGCACTCAGGATGTGACGAACAGCAAACTTGGACATTTAAAATGCTGACATGAAATGTTACGTTACGTAACGCGTTACAGCACTTGTGTGCTTCAAGTAGTATTGTATAACTTGAATTTGTTTTAAGTCCGTTTTTTTTTTATTTTTCATATCACTTCAATAGAAAATTCCAACAACTTTTATTAACAACAATGAGAGACATGATTTCTTCTTATAAATTAGCCAGCAGAAAATGTCAACTACGACACCAGGCGAGTATAAATAACGAGCAGTTAGTCTGTGAAATTGTCACCGCAGCAAGCGGAGCATTCTGCATATTAATATTTTCTATCATAGATGTCGCTTGCAGAAGAAAGGCGGTAACGAAATCGGACGAGGAATCCTTAAGTTGTGGTAAGATACTGTTAATCATAATTAATACGCCGATGGTCACGGATGGAGTCCGGTATGCATGCAACCACAAAAACGGGACTCTATTAACGGCGCAATTTTTGCTCATTAGAGACATTTGACTGGAACTTGATTTGTGGTTTTGCTTTTTAGCGTGATTTATATTGAGTTACAAGTGAAGAATTAAATTTCATTGCTAAACCTGTTTGTTACGTGTTTTATTTAAAGAATTATAATTAATTAGCAGTGATGGTGTTATACATATTGAACAGCACTCCAATGAGAATAAAAATAGAAACTATTATTTACGTTTCTGTAAGTAATATTTGTTATTTTAATATTTAAAGTATAATATATTAACATGTTACTCCTGAATTTTGTAAGACCTTTTTGTATGTGTTCGGTCATGTGAAGGTGTGCATAGCACATAGTATGTTTACTGCTCGTTCACACTGCGCATGTGAGTGAAGGTGAGGGCGTGCGGTGTTCTATCGCCCGGCAACTACCAGGGCGAAAGAAATCGAAAAAAGTAACCAACAGCCTGTGCACTGCACGAAGGTCGCGCTACGCTAGGTGTGAGAGAGACAGGTATAGAATAAAAAGTCTGCATGGCTAGGGTGGTTACCGGTTACCCTTCAACCACCCTATATCGGTCAGTAGGCGATTTTAATGTTTATAAATACAAGGCACATCCCATCTGACCGGTTTTATTTAAATGCATAATGACTTAAGTATTCAATGAATAGATAAGCAAGAAGACAATTAAGAAATTAGCTGAACTATTTTATTCGCAGAAAATATATTTATACTTAGGCTTCCATTGTATTAGTATTATTGTTTCGAAATAATAACAAACACACCTTACACTATTCTTCTAGCTTACAAAATCAAGACTAACAAGGCACGGAAACTTTCTAGGCAAAACGCAACTGACATAATATAACTTAAGTAAATACAATGGGTGCTTCACAGCTTCACTCGTAAACTCGTGGAAAACTTCCTTGTGTTCGAGTTCTAAGCAAACTATTCGCAATGTTTTCGTTACCTAACAAGTGTTTTCTAACAATAATTGTTAAGTTCAACATCATACTATGAATCTGTAAAAAGAATAGATTAAGTTAATTCTGCAGTACAAATTATGTAACTTAAAATTAAAGAGATTAAACCTAAATAGTAAACAATATCTTGTATATTATGTTTTCTTCAATATTTCTTTAAGCCCACTTTTAAAATATGAACGCTCACTTAAACTCGCAAGGAATGTTGTAAGCGCGTCTGCTCCCTAGATCCCGGGGAAAGGAGTTCCCGAAGGACATGTAAATTACGTGTAAAAATCACCAGGAATATATGACTGATGTGATGCTGTGAAGGAGGTTTTGCCGCCTAAGAAATTACACAGTTCGCCGATATTTACTTACAAGCTTTTCTTCGTTAACTTGGAAAGAAATACTTTTTCTCAGTATTTCAATAAATAACACCCAATTATTTTAATTCCATCTGAAATATAATTAAGAAAAATAGTAGCATTAGCCTAATTCAATTTATTAAATATAGTTTTTTTGTATTATTTACTAATTTTTATCTTTATTTATTTTAAGGTCTAACGATTAACGCGGTCAGTCAGTTTTGGTGGATTCATTCTATTTCCCGCATTTTTACGTATAAAAGGTATCCCTAATATTTTATTTTACCAAGACTGTATAAACACAAAGGAACCGAGTCAAGCCTACATAGCACGCGCCCTCTTGCCGCCCTAAGAATGCAGTGAGGCCGTCGCGTGACCACTTTACAGCCCTTACTTTTTTTTATTAAAGATCAAGAAGTTCAAGGGCGCAATCAGGTTTATAATCCCTATACTTAGCATAAAATGTTATTCGTGAGACCAAATTACCCTTAACCATAGCAAGTGCCTATCGTAATGAAAACTAGCGTATTATATTTAAGACTTCAAAAATCAGATGCTTACAGATAATTTTATAACACTATAAAGCAACCATAGATAACGCAAAGATAAAGTGCACCTTCTCCAAATAAATCAAAGATTGAAGACCACTAATTAACGCTTATTATAGTCTGCTAGTGTACCGGTTTGGTTCAAGGAAAATAAACTTTATCGTCATTGTAATAGAGTTGTAATTTTCCTTTGAAACTCTAAACATTACTTGTTACAGATTCTTGTGTCTAAACATGGTAAGGTATCATCAATAGGTGAAAGAAAACGCGCTTGGAACAAAGTATTTCCTGGTCTAAGAAAATTTATTAGACAGTCTGATAATATCTGACATACTGAAATTACAGTCTTTCTTAATTTACTATCTTGTCAGCGAGAAGCATGGAATCTTTAGCTTATAAGATATAGCTCAATTTCAACGCTTAGGTATTTAAACAATGTTTAATATTAGTTCTAATAAAAGGTAATATTATCTCTGATGTTGAGGTTTTAGGGAAAGTTTAATTATTTTTATGCCCAAATAATTAAGCAGTAATAATTAACAAACGTAAATATGTTTACTTGGGTTTTGGGTAAAGAGGCAAGCTATAACAAATAAATAACCCAGCAATACACCAGAAAAGATGCGCTCTCGGCCTATTTTGGCATCGCACATTAATAAATCCACAGACTGAAGACGAAACACGGATTTACACTTTACTTCTGTTTCATTTCGATTCCGTTACCTGGATGAAATTTTAATGTTTCTACTACACATTTAATGTGCACAATTTCCAGACGAATTTCTTTAATAAATATGTTACACTCGGTGGGAATCGAATCCACGACCTGTTGATTATTGCCATAGCCACCAGAAGACTAATGAGCCCGTCGGGATAACTTCTTCTATTTAATTAGCGTTCTGACCCACCCTTTTACCTTATTAGTAAGCAACCCGGCACCAAGGAATTATAAACGGCAGAAGTTCAAAGAGCACATGTTCGCATCACGTGAGGACTGGGGAAGTCAGGAAGACGTGAATGGGTTGTCGTAAAACGTGTTACGCGTCTCTGCGGGTGATTTAGCGCGTATTGTTGCAGCCATTTCAGCTGTGATGAGAAACTTAATGCTATAAAAGAAATTGTGAGTGAAATATTGTAATTCTAAATAAAATTCGCTTCACAGCACAAGCTTTATCGGATTTTAGTTAGAGTTTAATGACTAAAAAGAAAAAAATTACTTCTATACTTCTTAGATTTCTATAAATTACAGAAATTTATTGTATCGTTCATGTTTTGATTAGGTAATATTCACAAACGGTATCGGACTTTTTATCTTTATTATTTATTTGTTGTATATCATTAGTTAGATTTTGAGTTCAAATAAAACACTTTAACGGTTTAAAACGCGATATATTAGTTAAACTTATTTGAAAAATGATTTTTAACTTCGGCCCGACGTTTCGGATGCTTTGCAGCAGCCGTGGTCACGGGGAGACTAAAAATCGAATATAATATTAAAAATCCTTTTTCAAATAAGTTCAACTAATATATCGCGTTTTAAAGCGAACGTGTACTAAAATTTCTCGCGTAAACTATAGACAGATTTTGAGTTGTTTATTTTTATGTTACTTGCCAGACCAATGACATATCGTTTTTTTCGATCTGTCTTGAACTTTTCTCTCATCGAGTATAAAAGTTAAAAATAAGATAACAGAATCTTACATTAATATCTATTTTCACTGAATATTTCGAGTGAGCTATCATTGGCAAAACTAATGCAAGTCAAAGGCACGTGTGACGCATATGCACCACGAGTGCCTTTGGCAGAAAGTTCCCACGTCTGTCATTCATGGACAAGCATATCTTTTTTTATTAATTAATACAAAGGAGGTTGAGTTTAGATGGTGAAAGTTGTCAGCTAATAATATCTGAAAAATAAATTTTGTAACAATTTCGGGGTCTTCTTACATGTTGTACCCGACGGAAACCGACCCTTAGACCTGGTGGTTATATGGTACAATATTAGAACATTTATAACTAACGCTATTTGACCAACTATCCAGTCAGAGTCATTACGCAATACAATAATTTTTCCTTATTCTAAAGATAAGCAACGTATGATAGCTCACTTTAATAAAGTAATTCAGGATAATTGTAACAAGTAACACTCTGTGTTTAAATAAGATTTCAAAACATTATATTTGTAGTTTTTAACCAAATTAATTTCTATTAAGCTTAAATTGCACATAATGACGTCACGTCTTTTACAAGTTCACACATTGCTAGTACGCGGAAACGATCATACATTCGTGCGAACAGCACATTGCTCCAACATTAACACCAAAATGTGCACTAAAATAGACATTAGACAGATTCCTATAAACAGCGCACCATTCCGCGAACGAAGAATAAAAATGTAAGAAACGTATAGTTCTCTCCAAATTTTCTGGCCGGGCTGAAGTTAGCGCGACCGCCATCTTGCGCATGGGTGGCTACCAGTATTAAGCAAAAATTCGTGTCGCCCTGCACCCGCACACCCCTCTTGTCGCAACTGATACCTGCTTTTTGCGTTCTGCGCAACCATCCACGCCAACTTTAGCCCGGCCAAAAAGTTCAGAAGAGCACTGTAGAGTGAACGCAAAATGCTAAACGACAAACTTCAAAATTACTGTCACAAAGTAAAATTTGAAATAAAGTGTTCGTTGACGGTCGAACGCTGAGAACATGTATCTAAATCGGAGAAAGGTACAATATTAGTTGACAAATAATTTATCTAGGCAGACTAATTTTGTGGCTGTAGACTTCCAACTTCCCGCAGCAGCGCGGCGGTTGGATTTTTAAAGCTTAATTTTTATGCTAGGCGAGACACTGTAGTGAACAAAACTTACATACATTTTTTTGTTTTGTTTGTAGATTAACCCAATCAAACACTACTTATAAGTTTGAGTAAAGGGTCTGGCTAATATCGGCGCTAAGGATTTCCGTTCTTTTTTTATGTCTGTTCATTGTATTATATGAAAAAGTAGGACAGACATGGATAGAGTTTACTTGAAGGGAATACCCCAGGCCATATAAAATCTCCAAACGTCGCGCTGTCGAACTATTGTAGAAATCCTCAGACTTAACCGAAATGCGCTTAAACTTCACAGCTTTTTTATCTGTGGACGATAGACTTAGATTAGGTTCTACCACCCATTTTATACACAGATTTCCAGTAGCCTTACTGTAAATATTAGACCAACGAGCTCGTCTGTTCTTCATATCCTTTATCTTTTTCTTAAACGTAGCTATGAACGAGTAATTAGTTGTAAAAGTCAAAACCGTAAATAACGAGTTCCCACAGGAACGTAAATGGTAATCACAACACCTACGCGACCACACATCATACCACAGATTATGTAACCTTGGCCGAATTGAAGCTTTTCTTTAAACTTGAGTCTGTTCTTTATACATCAAACGCTTCTGCTATTCTACTTCATAAAAGTCCGATGTATTTACTTTTAAATTCAGGCAAAAGAATTTATCAAGATCTATGAATACTAGTTTATTAGTTTACATCTGAAAATACCTATTTGTTACTATTAGAATTGAAACGCTTTCCAACATTCCAAGAAAAATCCAAAGACTACTTAAGCTTTTACTCGGAACTGTACCGGAAAACTATTTTCACCCAAATTAATTAAAGAGTTCAAAGTATTCCCGATAAGTTCTTAAAACAAAATTAAAATCCCGTGTACCTACGTTGGGTATGGATCGATACACAACAAGTAGAATAACACTTCTGCGGCCAGGCCTACCTAGATTTTCATCAGGATTCAAACTAGGGACCTTTTTTTAGCCAAAGTCCAAAGTATTTGAATTTAGAACTAATATTATTAATAAAGTAAAAAAGTTATAATTATTAATTGTAACTAGAATTAATCTTGGTATAGCAAATCCAGACCCAGACACTTAAGACCTAGACTAGTCTAACATTATACCTATAAGTACCAGGGCAGCATATACACTAGGCGCTCTATAAATACTAGACTAGACTTACGTATTTAGTGTGAACACTAGTTAATTGGAACTTTCCTAGGCTTGTCAAGTATTGTCCCATATCCCACGGTGTCACACTAAAGACCAATTACTTGCTTTGAGCGTTTGTACAATTTAAATTTGCCTACGACGATTTCGGCCTAGCTTATGCAATGACCGTAAAGCTATTGTGGAGCATTGTTTGATGGGCCGAATGGCCTAATTTCGTCTAATGCGGTCTTTCGTTAAACTAGGTACAAATTTTAACAGATCGCAGTAATTTGATTATTATTCAAATAAATTCAGCTATTATTGTTTATTGGATAATGTAATACGGTATTGTAAATGTTCGTGCAATTCCGACAGTTAAATGAACTACATCATTCGTTGAATAAAACACTTTTAACGGGTTTAAACACGAGACATTGTGCCGTTAACGTGCAAAACATTTTTTATTTAAAACACAAACAGTAATTTTATACTCGCCGCTGATGCAGTAAAAAATATGGAGCAATATATTAAAGATTTGCAAATGAAGGAGTATCGAAAGTGCTAAATGTTTTAGATTCTTCACTTTATGGGTTAAGATTTTTACGTCTCAAGAGGTAAGCAACTTTGTTGCGATTTATAACGTTTAAATTATTCAAAATATATTTTATTATACTAATGTATATCAGTTCTTTTATATGTAATACTCCTTTAAAGAAACTATCTCCTACCGTATAAATTGACACAGAATACTCAACGAAAAATAAAAATCACTATTGTGGATTTCTTTAGGCACTTATATTAATACCTAGTTGAAACAACAAATCTACTTTTTTTGTTTGTTGGCAGATAACTTCGACATTTATGCAGAGATTTTACATAATGATTTAATTTATATGACATGTCATTGCGCACGATGGCATTATATACATTAAAAATCCATTTCAGTTCAAACAAAATTTTATGACAAGGGCAAGACTTGAACGCCGTGGCCGCTGGGACTCCCCTAGACCCGCCCCTTGTGTATTAGTTTAAAATCTAAAATCAATTTTATAATTTATAAAAAGCACTCTGTCAAGTTTAGCTCTTATTAATCGATACTGTTAAAAAAGCTTTCAAAAGCTCAAATTACGTAAATCCAAAATCTCTTTTCGTTACATTTCTGAGAACTGAGCTCCGTCTAATCTACCAAATGCTTAATTATACTGGGTTCTTGTGACAAAACAGTCAATGAATTTATGCATGAGTGGCGCGTCTTCAGCAGCATAAAGGAACAATAGTCTTAACTCTTAGGTTAAATCTGGCCTTATTTTAGGGTTCCCTAGGAATAAGGTCCACTATGCGTCCGTCTGTCATCCTGATTCAGCAGTTGAAATGTTAACAGATAATAAACATTCTATATAAAACAAGTTGAGTAAATATTAATTACTATTTACTTTATTAATTATATTTGAAACGAAACTAAAAATACAAGTTCCAATGTAGATATTAAAAATTTACCACAGAATATTTATTTAAATAAAATCACTTTTTACGGTTTTAAACGTAAAATATATTAACTAAACAAATAAATAAACATGTTGACAAATACTTTGTAAATATGGTAACTAATAAATTTCGCGTTTTAAACAACTAAAAATATTTTTTTGTGTGCTACTCGTGTGAACTACAGACAATACTCTCAAGTATATTTATATATAAGGTGACAGACGTGATTTTTAGCTGTTTTATGTATAGACACGGCACTCTGAGGACGAGTCCGACACACGCTTAGCCGGTTTTATTTCCCGGCCCGTATCCAGTTTGTTTGGACCACGCCGACATGACATGCGATCGAATTTGCGTTTTTTTATACCCTTAGACTTTCGTCTCGTCAGACGTAACTTGAGATGAGGAATTTTTTATCATTAGAACTTCCCAAGACAGACGAATGCTTTTTTATAGAATGTTTATTTACTTGTATGTCGAGACATCGAGATATCTATACTAATGTATAAAGCTAAAAGATTTGTTTGTTTGAACGCGCTAATCTCAGGTACTAGTCGTTCGAATATTAGAAATCTTTTTGTGTTGGTTAGACCATTTATCGTGGAAGGCGAAACATGCGATCAATACGAGAGGGAAATGTGAAAAATAATTGAGAAAATTATCTATTATTTCCGTTGCGTACGCTCGATCGGTTTAAGATACTTAAAAATATGTTTAAATTTTTCTTGTTCATTAAACATGTCCGCGACAGTATATTTCTATCTTTGAATTTTCAAGAACCGTTTTGTTTTTGGTGGTAATGAAATTTTGGTCAAAATACTTCGGGCTATATATATTATACATATTTTTAAGATAATTCTAAAATAACTGCAGGCCTATAAAAAGTTTAATGCAATACCTTTTATGATATTATGTAAATTTTTAAGTTAAAAGTTAAATAATAAGAAAGTCGATTTTATAAAGTTTTTTGATAAATTAGGTTAATATAACTATACCAAAGATGCCTTCGATAAATTATAAGTTGATCAAGGTGTGCTTGACACCAAATTTCATCAATAACGGCCGAGCCGTTGTAGCGTCAAAGAGTAATATTAAAACAAACACATTTATAATATTAGTAGTAGTGCATTGTGTTGATGTTTTTTATAACAATATTTATTTAGATAAAATGAATTACCATTATTGTAATTAATTATTTATTTTATATCATACTTAAGTAGAATCCGAACTGCTAACTTCAAGAAATAATGTTAAATATCCAACAACGAAATCTACTGGAAATGGATGTTTATAATTTTATTAAGTATGAACGTTTAGAGAACTCGAAATAATCTTTAGTTGCTGTTTATTATACAAACATTTAACAGACATGATTAAATTTTAAACAAGAGATCTATTTTAGTGTTCTACATAATGCATAAATCCTTAGAAAATACTTTTTTATTTAATAATAATAATAAGTGTTTTAAATGAACTGAATCTTCATCAAGTCTTTGCCTGTAAACATAATTGGCGAGTGAAGAGGACATATCATGTGTCTGCATAGAGATTTTGGATTTCGCTTTTAAGTAATAATACATAATAGACAAAAAAATAAATTTAATTATTTAATTCTTGTAATATATTTATTGATAACATGTTAAATTTGTAAGTGATTAATGCATATATGAATATAAAAAAAAAGAATTAATAAAATATACTTTAAAAAAATGAAAATGTTAAATAAAAATTTGGAGATTTTTTTTTGTTTGGAAAACGTTGGACTCTATTATTATATCCAAAATAATTGCCAAAGTGCCTAAATTACCAGAAGTTTAAAAATCTATAAATTAAATTTAAAGATATGATTAATTCAATCTATACACTATATTAAAAATAGTAAAAACTTTGTTTAGTTCAGACATACCATTTACTAATTCTTATTTGAAGACCGTATAGTGGTTAAAATGTCCTTAACCCTATTATAAAAACAAAGCCACACATAATATATTAAATGTCTCTTGCCGATTATATTTTCCATTCCTTACCTTAAGCTAACTTTTCCCATCTTACAGCATGCCCGGAATCTAAAATATCCCTCCAGCACAACACTAGCACTGAACTAAAGTTCTAATTTGAATTTCCCGCGTCCGCAGCACTGTATGCGCGCGCGCACCGGCTTTGAGGACTGTCTGACAGACTCTGGCGCAGGAGGATCATGTAATGCCACCCCCACCGTACCATTCATGAAAATAATCAATGGACAACGCGAGCTTTCGACGCAAAGAGCTTTTTCAAGTTCTCATAAAACTTGAGAGGTTTTTTATCGCCGCTGCGTATTTGAAATCTCTTACAATATGTTTGGTTACTTAGTTTTAAGTATATAATCTAACATTTTATTTTACTAAACATATGTTTTAGTTATAATGACGTATTGTACATTTTTTGTTCTATTCTTCTTCATTAAAAAAGGATATATTAGAAAAGATGTTTAAAAGTTATAACTAATTGTGTAATAGTACTGTACCATTTTTAGACAACGAAATAAAGGTTTTTAATTATAAAACATGCTTTATTCCAAAAATGCTAACAAATTAGGTTGAACAGATGAATTAACGATTCCATATTGATTATCTTCTGGGTTTTGATCCTATGACGTTTTTTACTGCATACTACATATTAATAATGACAAAACTTTTAATTTTGACGTTTCAAAGTCTACTTTCTTAATTTGTTAGTTATAATATTCATAAAAATTAGTTAGTACGAATAAAGTTTTAAATAAAGGTATATAATAGAAGTCAAACTATTTAGCTCCGCACACCTGCGTCTAAAATAAAAAAAAAAACAAAAACAATATCCTTAAGACAAAAACTTTAACGTTTGATCCCTGGAGTAGGTAACAGATTTAATAGGATTCAAAAGTCTGATTAACTACTTTCTTGTAAATAAAAGCTCAATACACACACATAATTGCATATACCCCATACTCCACGTTGGGACTTTTCATCTATCTTTATATATAAAGCTGAAGAGTTTGTTTGTTAGAACGCGCTCATCTCAAGCACTACGGGTTCGAATTGAAAAATTATTTTTGTGTTAGAACATTTATCGAGTAAGGCTGAAAGACTATAAAACATCGCCTTGTGACTAATACACGCCAAAATACAGCGAGAAATCGAAAAAATCGACTAGCTTGTTGGTCCATTTAAACAATATAGGTCTAATAACCAATAGGTAGCTTGTTTGATTCCGAGTTTTTTTATTCAAGTCAAATTATAATTACGTGAAACATTACACGAGCAGGATATTTCAAATAAATCACTTCAACGGTTTAAAACGCGTGACCACGGCAGCTGTAAAGCATCCGAAACGTCGGGACGCAGCTAAAAATAATTTTCAAACGAGTTTAACTAAAATATATATTTTAAAGACTCAGAGGATCTTAAGTAAGCCCGTGCTGGTTTATTTTCTTTATTATAAAATTCATAAAGTCATAAATATATGGAAGTTCTCGACGTCGCCAACGCCAACGGTGTAGGATCGAGGGACGTGGCTTCTCTCGGCTCTCCGCCAGAAGTACGTTAGCATTACCTAATATTTCATAATTTATAATTAGGCCATATTTAAAATTAAAACTTGCAAAAAAATATTTATCAGTAATTAACGGAAACTGTGTATTACCACACTGATAATTAATCTTCAAGTACTTGTATAATATAATATATTTTAGATTCAGTTCTATTTTTATAATTATGAATGGCTTTATCAGGACGGACAACATAATGAGTTATGTATTTGTCCCTGATGGTTACAAAATAACATGTTAATAAACGTACATATATTTAAACCCGTAGCAATTCTAGTCGTTGGATGTCACCTACACCTAGAGGATTCAGGCAAAGTTTGCAAAAGGCTTCGTTTACGATCACAGTAAAACAACTTTTTGATGATTACTTTCGCTGATCTCATCTTGAGACTGTTGTGCGTCCCTAATATTCGCACTTAGAACTTCTAGTGCTTAATCCAATACGTTTAACCACTACGAGGCGCTTTATAGCATATCGTCAGTATACTAACTCATGGTATGTATGGTTTTATTTCATCCGCGGCTTTCTATACTTTCAATTTAGGTCAAAGGTCCTCCTTACAATGGAGATTGCAATCTAGAACTCTAGACTAGATAGTCGAACGGTAAAACGCTATGCAAATAAACAAGACTATTAAAGTAGGGACACATTCCCTGCTATTATACTTAATATGTATGCTATTCAACTAGCTAGCTTCTAGAATAACTAAACGTAAATCTGAAGTGTCTTGGAGTAGTACATATTTGAATAAAACACTTTTAACGGTTTAAAAAAATATATATATATATACGTTATATCCGGTAACTCATTCACAATTCATTTTCCCTCGTGGATGCTTTGCAGCAGCCTTGGTCTCGGGGACACTCACCAGACAGACAGTCTTTGGACTGAATTTTCAAATAAGTGTAACTAATATATCGCGTTTTAAACCGTTAATGTGTTTTATTTAAATAGTTTATAAGTCTTTTAATAAAGATAAACAATCTCTGTATGTAGCATTACAGAATAGCACTTTTCTATCTCGTGAAAACCCTTATCTTTGGCCCTCCTGAAATTAAATTATATAAATTTTGGGAAAATTTCGCAATAACCCCGTATATCTAGGCTAGAAGCGAACTTTTGCGCAATGCTGGTTGACGGACGCGACCAACAGTGGGCGTATCTATCTCTTCCGTGGCGCACTACGATACCAAAAATCGTACAATAAATGGGACAACACTGTTCGTCTGTTGCTAATATCCACTACATAGGCTAACTAACACGAAATCTAGTACAAGTCGAAACTTAATAAATATTCTTATACATCTCTGTGAAGATTATTTTTTTCCATACTCATTGGTGACCGTTTGATTGTTGAGTAATTCCAAAGGCAAGCAATTAACTTTGTATGTCAAAAAACACCGTGCTTTCCGGGACTAGAACCCGGGGTCACACGCCATGTCATCGTTTTACACTGCGTCTACTGAGCGAAACTATCCTTTCGCTCTTTTACAGTTCGTTTAGGTAAAACCTCTTCAGTTAAACTCTTTCATAAAGTTGTCTATGGTTGGAATAAAAAGAGGAATTGTCAGTTTACACTTCTGGAGTAACAGTTTCAAAATTAAAAGTTTTTTTTTGTAAAAATTTAAAATGTGTGAGAATCTTAATCCGGATCGCATAAGATGCGAGCCATGTCGCACAATTAATCTGGCGAAACACATTAAACAACCGAAGCCCAATATGCAAGTGTACGACAAATGCAGCCCTACGCAAAAGTTAGATTGTCCGAGGGTCACAGGTTATTAAAATAAAATTATATTTCTTAAAGCTATAAAACCTTAATAATAATTAATAACACTCAAACCATAATAAAGAAATTATAAGAATAGTCAAAATGGTACGAGCTACATTATACGTGTACTGTGTTGTAAGCTGTATAGTTCTCTTACTTACAGAAACGAACTCTGTATTGTTTCTGCTGCCTTAGTGTATTTTATAAATTATGTAATATGTAACAATTGTTACAAGATCGGTTGGTTGGTGGTGTTTTTGTTCCTTTATACAGGAAAAAATCGTTTTCAATCATCATCAATGTTGATTATAATCTTTTTAATTTAATGAATTAAAAAGTAAATAAATTAATATTACAGATTAAATTTAACATTAAAATATATAAAACTTATTTCTAAGTAAATTATTTTGAAGTCTTCTTTTTTCTTTCTCTCTGAAAAGAAAAACATGGCCGATGTTATTTTGGCTTAATTGCGTTTTTTTTCTTTTTTAGAACTCCCTCTTCATCCCACCTGCATAAAAGTATGCACTAGGGAAGAATACGAAGCAAGGAGATGTCCTGGAAAGTTCGAAATACCAAAAATTACCCACGTCTATGCCCACGGAAAGTTAATGTACGCTCTCAAAGTAAGTTTATCAAGAGCATGTCTTCACATTTTATAGTAACTTAGTAAGAATAGACTATTGATCGGGGGATTTAAATTGATGTTATCGGCATTTGCACCTCCTATAAATTTCATCCTCATTAGTAAAATGAACTGAGGCGTTTGAAATTCTACGCAGGCTGGTATCCTAGTAGGAGCTGTCTACTTCACGTACACCCAAGGAGTATGGGGAGACCAGCAAGATGTGACAGAGTGTATTCGTCGGTGGCAAGAGTACATACGCAGCATCAACACGAGACGTCCTCCCACCTTCGACCTCTGTGGAAACGTCATAGTACGTGCTCCCGCTGCTACGATTAGACTAAACATTTTCTAACTCCTAACGCTCCTTCCCGGCTATATATTCCTGGTGGAACTGATTACGTCATCATTTCTACACTTAGTAGGGTTTCAAATACACGTACACAACACGTAATTAATTGGTTAGTTAGTTACATTCTTCTGAAAAAAAAACTCAATCGATTTTGAAACAACTTAGGTTTTTAATGAGTGTGAAATATGCACAATTACTAACTAAATAAGACCTTGTAAGCTCACGAATAGTAAACAATAATAAATATTCTTTCAAAGTAGAAAATGCTAGACCGGATGAAACATAAATCGTGGATATTCTAAACAAGGTTTTCAGCGGCCTGATGTGTGTTAATAATTGTCTGATCTAGCACTGGAGAGATCAACCTATTTAAAAGTTATCTATAATAACCATGAAACACAATATGTATGCGTATTAATTATGAAATTTAATAACAAGCAAATTATTTATTAATTGCGATATACATACATACAAAACTCAAAATATTTTGTATTCAACTTGAGTTAGTTATTTTTATATTTTATATCTATCAGAGCTCTTTACAGCTTCTGCGATCCTGGTACAAAACGGCCCTAGATGACACAAAACTTGCTTAATCGCATCGGAAGGTGGACGACAATCGCACAGCGTCCACGTTCAATGCTGGTTCACGGCGCATTGAAGTGACTGAATGACTCGTGAATCCAACATATTCGCTAGTCGGTGTTCTCGATCGTCACGACATCGAACAAGTCTAGTCGCGAATTTACGATTGCAAATATCGACGCGCGCATTGTGCGGGGCGGGGCCACAAGAATGCATGCTTTATATCGTATCTCTTTTTAATTATAGCAACCTAGTAACAGTGCGGAGATTGCATACGCGGTCCATTCCGCAACCATTTCAAGTTTACATTCCATTCTTGGATGAGAGAGACCTTTTCACGTTCCCAAATACGCAATTTCCATTGATAAATTTTATATCTGTCCTTGCTAGAAGGCAGGAAGTAGCTTCCTTGACGTTGATAACTGCCTGGTGTAATTGGGTCATATCATTGACAATGTTCAGGCTTCACGCATTTTGATAACGAAAATTACGTTTGGCGATTTTAAAGTTAAACTCCGAAGTGTTTTAAATTCATAGTTTTTATATTTTTAATCTGCTCTTTTTTATACGGTATAGTATAAAGTGAATATTTATGTTGGGTATTTCAATATAAAATATTTTTTTTCAGAGAAAAGAATCAACTGAAAGTTTAGTTGCACCCCTTTACGCAATGTACAAATCAATAGTAACTACATGTTTTTCAGGTGAAACGCTATGTTCATTCACTTATGAAATATTTTGACCGAATTCAATTTTAAGACATTTTGCTCGGAATTTTCTTGCAGGCGTTGTAAAAGTGCCGCTATTAATAAAATGTGCGTACTTGGATTACCTGAAAGCTATTGAAAAAATGAAGGACGAAGAGGCTCGTGAAAGAAAAATTCGAAAGAAAAGCGGATAACATACATATTGTAAGCCAAAGTTTTTGTAGTTCTGTACTAATTTAAGTATCAAAAGCATTTTGTGTTAAATAAAAGTTGTAGAAAATTCAAAAACTATTTTAATTGTATTGAATACTATAAATATATTATGGTATTAATTTTAAAAGAATACTCTGCAATGAGATTCAAATTGAAAACAATTTTTCCCCTTCGAACTTTCAATAATTAATGACTCAGAAACAGCGAATAAGGTTTTCCATTATAAGTTCAAAAACTATATGTATTATAAATATAAATTACATATTCGTACAGAATGGAAAGGCATTTGAAATATGAAAAACAAAGGATCTATTTAAAACAATTACACGTCAAGATTTTACTAGACATCTTTGATGTAATTAAATTTGTTTTAAGAATTAGTATCTCGGTGATTTCCTTCTGTCTGGACTGTGTACTTCCAAGAACACTGGGTTTTCATCAGGACTGCCACCAGCTAGCATGTACTCCAAATGACGTATGTAGCATATCGCTATTCTGAGGAAAAAAATTACTAATAAGATACATATTAATAAAAGAGAAATCCCATTTCTGTGAACACATTTCTGTGTCCGTTTAACTTATCTGTTTTATTTACTGGGAAGTAATTGATTAGATTCCTGTGCCTGCCTCACCGGAATAATACTTATATTGTTTCCCGGGGATTCCAACCTAAGACCTCTTGCGCTAAACGCAATACTAGACAACACGTTTATCCATTTAGCTACAGAGGCGACTCATCTTAATAAATGTTTGCTACTCTTTGACATAAAATCTGCTCAAAAGAGATTGTATATGCGTAAATAACTTACTCTTTTCCTTAGCTTAAAACAAATCCTCGCAACAGCAATCCCTAGCCAAAGCTCTAACAAGCTTAATCTTCAGTGAAAAATGTTACTATTGATTATTATACCTTAAACATTCAATCTTAGAATATTTTTTTTTGGATGGCTTGGTAACGGGTAATTTGGATCTCAGCAAGTCAAAAGCTCGGTTCATATCTTTCATGCGCGTCCTTTCTCTGTCACAAGCAGTTTTCTTATATTCTGGAATATAATAAGATCTGAATAATCAATACGGTATTATATGATGGGGATAGTCTAATTTCAACATATGAAAGAACTGCAATTCTAATAACATAGGAAGAAATATAGTTATTATGATTGTATCTGATTCGTCCTTGTTAATTGGTTGTTTAATTTTAAAAAAATATAACAATGACCACTGTCTACTAAATTAGTATTATTATTGAATTGTCTAATATATTTTTCTTACAATTTTGACATTCAAGCACTTAGTGGTAATCGATAGAAAAGATGTAAATGTATAATTATGAATTCTACCTTTTTCAAGTTGCAAAGCTCTCTCTTTCCAATCCATAGCACTATCCTGCTCATCCACAAACTTAATCGGGTCCTGCGAATCTTGCGAGAATTCTACTGAGGACCTAGAATTGTTCGACTCTTGTATTGTTCTCATCTCCTGGTACTCGTCATGCTCGAAATATCTTGGCTCTAAAAATGTAAGGAACGCTTGCAACATTCTCCTCTCCACAACACCAAGCGATAATTATTTTAAAACATTGGGTTTATTTAAACTTGAGATAATGTAAATACTGTCTATAGTTTACACGAGTAGTACAAATTTAAATAAAACACTCTAACGGTTTAAAACGCGATATATGTATTACTTAAACTTATTTGAAAATGATTTTTAAGTTCGGCCCTACGTTTCGGATGCTTTGCAGCAAGCCGTGGTCACGGGGAGACTTGACTTGAGATAATGTAACTAGGAGTAATACTCTAAGGTCAAACTTATTGTTTCATAAGAAGTAATAGTTTTTGATTCACATACCATCATGTATTTCCAATTCCTGCGGCCTAAACAGTACCCTCCTCGGTTCGCCATAATTTTCCAAGCTGTACGATCGGTGATGAGTCGTCTTATCATACTTCTTATGTGAAAACGTCACTTCGTCCCTCTTATCACCCGGCCGTCCGATTTCAATTATAACCCTATCAGGTCTATCCTCCTCGATATCCTTCAGCGCCGAATAATTGGCCGTCAAAGGAATCGGAGCCTCATAATTGTTGTACATCTTTAAAACCTCGGAAGAACGTGCATCACCGCACCGAAGGTGATTAGAACTGTGTCGTTCACATTTCACTTCTTTTGTTATGTATATTCGATCAAAGTTGTATTGTGTACACAAGTGTTCAGTTTTTAGTATTTTGAGTCGTTTGTCTCATCTATTGTATATTAAATGTTTGTTTTCATTTTGTTTTAATATAGCCCACCCGCGTGTCTACCTATTTTATTACAGGGATATAGATAAAATTAGCATTACAATACAATTATTACAATAATTGTAATGTGTGTTGTAAAATAAATAATTTCTATCCTTCGATAAGCAATACTAGAGGAGCCGTAGGGCCTGGTAATTTCTTTTATTGGGAGGGAAAGAATAAAAATACCACAAAATTCAGAATAGCAATTTAATAATAAAAAATAATTTACATGCTTCAAGCACAGCATTACATTCATTTCAATTTTTAATAGAATATCGAAATATTCTTATTTACATTATTATGCTTAAGAGAGCAATAAATAATAATGCTATTCGTAATGTACACCCAATATATACATTTACGTAAAAACATTTTAATAACGCTTAAGTGTCGACCATTTTGTTATGGAGAGAGTACTTTTGCCACATATTTATAAAACTTCAACTTTCCTTATTAATTACATTCATCAATTTGGAATATTTTGTAGTATTTTAATATTAAAAAATTTAAAAAGCCTGCGTATTGTAATAAATTCTTTTTAACAGAACATAACCTTAAAATTAATAATCAAACATCGATTTTGCGTATAGCGAAGAACTGTTTCATGACGTCATCGGTCACAAGCGCCCGTCTCGCCTGATAGTCCTGTATGATTGGCGTGATGGTATCTATTGCTAATTTCTTCAATTCTCCCGTTAACAGTTCGCCAGATTCATAAGATTTCTTTATCTGTAAAAACAAAATGACGTTATTTGAAATTCGAAGACAATATACATTACTCTTCTTTTTTTGGAATAAAAGAAAAAAAACAAAAAACAAATAAAATAAATCCAAATAATTAATTTTGTTTTATTTAGTTTGTTACCGATGTCCGAAATAAAAGTTGAAAAGCTAAAAAAAAATGTTCGCTAGGTTTGTAAAATAAGTTAACAGATAGAAAAATAACCTCGGCTAATCTCTCGTCGTCTTCCAGGAAGAAGGTCAAATATTTGTAGGAGATATCAACATCTGTGTTGCCACCCTTTTCTCTATGTTCTTCCACTGTGGCTTGGCCTCCGGAAAATGCGTATTTATTTATCTGTAAAAAGAAATAACTAGTATGTTACAATATTACACTACTGTATTAAAAAAATATATTGTTTCTTACTGTGTTGAAAACAGTAAAATATATGAAATTAGAGTCAGCCTGAGATCCTAGAAGACGTAATAAAATATCTGTCAAAAAACTAGTAACACAAAACAGTCTGGCAAGTTATCCTATTTCAAAGTAGAAATTATGTACATAAATAGATTAATATTGAAAGTGATAGCTGATTAACAGCACTGACTTATAATTCATTGGTTACCTTGTTCTTTATCTGCTTAGGAGTATCATTAAGAAAGATGGAGGCATTAGGATCACTAGCTGACATTTTATGTTGCGCCCCTTGTAAGGCTGGAAGGAAGCTGGCATGAAGTAGAGCCGGCTTGGGCATCTTAAGTCGTGCTGCTACGTCACGCGTCATGCGGAAGTAGGGGTCTTGATCTATTGCGCACGGGATCAAGCATGGAACCTGAAAAATGGTTAATACGCTTATACAAGCACTAGCATTAAAGATTTATTTTGAACTCTCATTATAAACCTCATACATCATACTTACAACTTTGTTTTCAAAAATAAACGGTAAGCTAGTTGAAAATGCAGGTGCTGCTTCTATAGAAGGGAATGTGATTTTGCCAATGACATCTGAGTCTCCAAAACCAAAGATGCCTTTGACTTGATTGAATGTTACACATTTTTGTACCCGTAGCATGTTTTGATAAAATGCTGGACATTGCCTGAAAATATGCACCTATTAATAAGAACCTACAATGTACTATAATTATTAAAGATATATATGTTAAATAAAACACTTTAACGGTTTATAACGCGATATATTAGTAAAACTTATTTGAAAATTATTTTTAACTTCGGCCCGTAAGTTTAACTAATATATCGCGTTTAAACCGTTAAAGTGTTTTATTTAAATGTGTACTCCTCGCGTAAACTATAGACAGTATATATTTGTTAGTTGAAATATGTTAACTATCGTTTTAATACAATACAAGCCATCTTTTATTTCACTTCTTACCCAATAAAATCTAAATCATTAAAAATAAATGTATTTGATGTGTCAAATCCAACTGCAATTATATCTTTAGCGTTGTTAAAAGCCATCTGTCGAGCATCTTCTATTTTTATATCCTTCCACATTACTTTCTCATCATCTGTGAGTTGAATAATCAATGGTACTTTGAAGACATCTTGTAACCATCTGAAAAAGTTATACTTAAATTTTTGACACTCAGATCTGTGTTCGACTTGCCAGTAAATGCATAATTTGTTAACTAGGGCAAATTGTTGAGCTAACTAAAACCTTAACAGCAACAATAGTAAAAAGCCATATTTTTTATGCAGGACTTTCGTGTCATATATTACTGTACACTTAAAAATCGAAAAATAAATTGAAAAAAAAAAAATTGACTCAGGCAGGACTTGAACCGGCATCATCAGCTTTCCGTGCTGTTGCTCTACCAATTGAGCTACCGAGTCCTACACCTCATCGTCGAATTTTTTCAACTTATTGATACATGCACCTCTCGCGCAATTATATAGTGCCTTCATGTGCAATAACATGTGAAAAATATTAATGTTTACTGTACACTTACTTTGTGAATATAAATGGTATTAAATGTCCAATATGCATACTTTCAGAGGATGGCCCTCTTCCTGTGTACAAGTAGAACTTTTTTCCTGCTTCATGTAGGTTTAAAACAGTATGAAAATCTCTATGTGAGAAGAATATACCTCTCCTTAAGAAGTGATGAGCTAAAATTAAGATGAAAATAAATATAATGAATGGGTGAGTAAATATAATAAGAATGCAAGTAAAACAGTGCAATTATTGTGTATGTAGGTATAGTTGAAACCTCAATTATTATTTAGATATAAGGCAACTAAGGAACCAACCTCTCTGTCCAGTGACTTTTTCAAATCTGTCTATAAGGTCATCATCTATTTTTTGACTACCAAACCTTTCTGTAAAGTTGTAAGTTTAAAATTAATAATTAATCTATAAAAGCTTAAAACTAACATAATGATGCAATGGTAATCCAGAATTAACTCACTTATGAGCTTATCATAGTCAATTCCTGTTTGTGACTTTCCAGCAACATTCCATGGGTCAACGAAGTCATCATCTTCGGTCACTGATATATTAGCCACTTGTTCTTCGAGTTCAGTCATGACTAACCTAGAAAATGTTACAAATTGCTTCTTATAATTGTTTTACCCTTTAACAAGGATTATTTATATGGTTCTAAAACAGCGTTAGTCTTATGTTACAAAAACACTAAGGAACCAACTTGAACCAAAAAGAAGAAAAAAAACCGGGTTTATACGTATACACTTTTAGCTTATGATAAAATCTACAAAACCTCATAAGGTTACTGACCTATATTTGTTTAATTTATTATATTATTACCTATCTAGTTTTATTATATAGAGAATTTAGCTTGCATAAATATAAAATAGTTTTAAAGAGAAAAATTAATAATTTATTAATTTTGACTTAAACTCTGTGCATTAGAGTTTCGTTCCATAATCTTGACTTTGACAGTATCGAACGATGTAACGTCATTGCTTGTTGTCAAGAAGTTGTCAAATGGATAACATTGACAGTTGTGTTGTGACATAAGAGTAACAATGTTGAATTTCCATTAGTCCATTATCAATCTGAATTTGTCAATAACTCTCGCAGTCGTCACTCGTCGCGATGTTCCGCTGTATTTAAGTTTTTATTAGAATAATAAACGTGCGTCTTTGTTAAAAATTGTATGGCAGTTTACTGTTAAACCGGTCGGGGCTTTAGTGTTCTTGATGGTTTCCGGTGATGATTTCAATGGTGGCCGTTTACCGCGTAAAACAGCTAGATCCCCAAATCGAAAATCAAAGAAAACAGACGCAGATGTAGCAAAAGCTTCAGCGTTGCGAAATGATTCGCAACCTTCTGTGCACAAAAGAAATCTACATGTGGTTTCCCTGCCTGTTATTCTTCTTTTCAACCTGCTGCGGTCAATATTGTATCAGTTATTTATAATTTTCAAATACTTGTACTCAGCGTCCCATCGCTTCATTCATAGGCCTCGTAAAACCGGTGAATGTAATCTTGAAGTGGTTGTTAAAGACGGTGTAGTGTCAACAGAGATTGCCCACAGTGAAGAGATGCCATACACAAATAATGTGGGTCCTGGTGACCCACTTCTTGCCAAACAGAAACATCATCATCGCAAAGCTTTTGAATACATATCAAAAGCTTTGAAGATTGATGAGGAAAACGAAGGTAAAATTTTCCTTAAAAAGTATCATTTCATAAAAATAGTTCTTGGTGTTCTAGCTTACAATTTTTTCGTACTTACTACATAGACTAAATTTAGCTTAATATTGAATATCATAGCTTACTGTGCTTAGCAGTATAGTATAGTGATAATAGTCTTCTGTAGGAGTTATTATCCCTAAATACAGGTCAGAAAGAACTAGCAATAGAGTTATATAAAAAAGGAATCTATGAATTGGAGAGAGGCATCGCTGTGGACTGCTGGGGTGGGCGTGGAGATGCATGGCAAAGAGCCCAGAGGCTCCATGACAAAATGAAAACCAATCTAGGCATGGCTAAGGACAGATTACACTTCCTCGGTATGATATAAATATTGTACTTCTCACAGCTATATGTGTTTATGCCCCAAATTTTATTTATTTTGTCAACAAAATTGGCTGTTTTATGCATGATAGCTTGTTATATTTAGTTTCAATACACCACAATGTAAACTCGTTTAACGGAAAAATTATTTCAATGTAGCCAACCTTGTGGCCCTCAGTAAATTGGGGGTTGAGGGTGAAACCGAGAGGAGTGACAGAAAGCCTAAGGAGTCGCCATTAAAGGCGAGAAGGCCATTAGAGAAGTCCAAGACGACACTGCTAGCGCATACAGAAAGTAACAGTGGTCAAACGAAGCCACCGACCGAAGGTAGAACGACACACTATGCTTAGCTTCGTTTGACGTAACCTACTGCAAAATGAAGGAAACTAAATAACACTTAACAATTAAAACAATTTATTGGATTTTATTTAGCTATGTTTGCATGTGGGTCCACTGTGCTTACTAATTTTTTTGAGCTTTCTGTGTAATGATGTTTCTGTGTATGCTTTTCAGTTTTGTTTTTATATATTTTTTATATTACACATGCATGTCATTGTTACATGTCATTTTAAATTTAGCTAAGATTTATTTCTAGGTAAGCATAATAATGTTTCATTGGTATCGTCTGATTCCATATTTCGTTACCAATTTCGTTAATACAAGCATAGATATATTTGTTACTAGCTGTTTCAGCGACTTCGTCCGCTAAGAATGTTTATTTTTGGGCATCCAAATTCCTTTTTGATAACCCCCTTCATCTTTATAAACTTAAGCCACGACGTCGGTCGCGTCGCTTCCCGTAATTCTTGCAAAGTAATCTTAAAAATTAAGCATATATAGTGTCGCGGTCTTTTTTTTTACATTATTTAAGGAGAAATCATTCTTTCATACATAGTTTTGGGGTATCTTGAACCGTTTTTGCAAACCTCGGGAACACATAATGATGAATAGTTTTCCCATTTTTTTTCTTCATTTTTCGCTGTATCATCGCTTGTATTAGGCACAAGGCGATGTTTTAGCCTATGTCTAGCCTTCCTCGATAAATGCTCGAACCAACACAAGAAGAATTTTTCAATTCGAACCAGTAATTCCTGAGATTAGCATTCAATCAAACAGACTCTTCAGCTTTATATATTAGTATAGATACAACCCCATTGTAGTTAAGTATCATTATTACGAAGGGGATATAGAAAGTAATGATGCGTTGCATTTTATTTCCGCTAATACTGTGTGCCACAATGGGTGTATTTCAAGGGTCACTAGTCGGGCCGATGTTATTCAACTCATATAACGATACGTCATATCACGTTACGGACTTTCTATGAAAGTGTAAAAGGATGTATCAGGTGACATTTTACAAGATTAAAAGACTCCTGACGAGAAGTGTGCTATTGTCCTTCATGTTGGTCAAAAATAGCTAAGTTTACACAATCTAGTTCCTTGTAATAACATAACTTACGAACAGAAGAGTTTCTTAGTTTAGTCTACTAAACAAAGTATAAACAGCCTTACTCTAATAAATCTTGTCTCTTTGCTGTTACAAAATAACTTATAGTGACTCTAACTAAAATAACTCGTCACTAAAGTAGGATTAAAATATGTAATTAAGTCTGAAAAACGAAATAATTACAAACTCAATTATTCATGCTGAAGCAACAAATAGAGACCTATTTTCTGGTATTAAGGCACTTCTTATATTAAACGTTAAAAATAAATTAGAGTTTTTTTGTATGCTTAGTTGAAATTCTTAGTGTTTTTAAGATTTTACTCAACATTTACAAGAGCAACCCTTAACTTAAAAAATATACTTTTTTTTGGGCATTTAAAAAACAGCATTCGTATTTAGTTCTGTACTGTTTCTTATTTCCTAGTACATGTTTCGTAATTTGAATTATTACTTATATTTTAATTAGAGCAGCATAAATGTTTTTAAATAAAACACTTTAACGGTTTAAAACGCGATATATTTTAGTTAAACTTGTTTGAATATTATTTCTAACTACGGCCCGACGTAGCCTTTCTCAATAAATGTTCTAACTAACACAGAAAGAATCTTAGAGTATTCGAACCTAAAGTAGTTGCTGAGATTAGCGCGTTCAAAGAAACAAACTCTTCAGCTTTATATATTTTTATAGATTATACTAATTTGAACATCATCAGCAGAAACCATCTTTATCCTACAAAAAAAGTTAATTCGTAGAAAGTAACGTAATTAACGAGAAAATATCGGTATTATATGGACTGGAGCCAAATCTGCGTTTCGAATAGTTACAGTTCTGTGAACTCATAATGTCCAGACGTAATTCTGTCAAACTGTAGCGAGCACTTTATTATTTATAGGTATATTTAATTTGAACTAAGAAATTATCAACATTTCAATACCCGATTTGAGTTTAACTAAACGTCACGTCCTTGTAAAAGTGGGCTTTGGTTTTTAAACTCAGGCGCAGCTTAATCTTTGTTGCAAACGCGAAAAGATACAGAATTGTACAAACAGACACTCATAAATGTAGACATACTCTTTCTATTGATTTATTATCGTATAGACTATAGATAAACGGTAAAAAACTCCGTCCTAAAAAATTTATACATTTAAAACATACTTTGTCCTAATTTTTTTATTTATTTTGTGTTCCTATTAGCATTAAAAAAAGTACTAAGGTATCATGAATCACAAGAAAGTTAACTCGTGGAACAATCGGAGTTTCTAATTTTGAAAACTACATTCACATTGCATGTAAAAAATGGCACTATATAAATAAATAACTTTAATTGAAAAAAAAATACGACTCAGGCAGGACTTGAACCGGCACTTAGCGTTCCGTGCTTTTGCTCTAACCAATTGACTCTCTCACTCGGAGGACTCGGTAGCTCAATTGGTTAGAGCACGGAATGCTGAGGATGCCCATCAACTAACTATGGTACAAAATAGCTGGTCTAAGCTCGTAAAACCTCTTATGCGAGAGGAAGCATGTACCCAGCAGTGGGACATTCACCTTAAAACGATGTAACTTAATAATAAAAATAACTCCACCAATAAGCTATGTAGATATTTTTAATTTCCTGGAATAATGAAAAGGAACGTAAGCTAAAAATCAATAGCTAATATTTTCAAGTACGACCTTCTAAAGGCTTCCTTTATCCACCAACCCCAATATAAAGTAGAGCTTCTTTGAAAATTCGACACTATTAGCGTGAAATTTCAGCAATTACATAAAAAAATAGTCAACTCATATATTTCGTGTTTTAAACCGTCAAAAGTGTTTTAAATATTTAACAATTGACAATCAAGATACTGGAATCGTAACAAATTCGATATGCTTTGATCTCAATACAATAGATAGATAATACGCTCGTGATGCTGCGATCGTGATGCGAATAAAAATAGACAAAGCCGCGGAAATGTCATGCTTATTTATATAATTAAAACGATGCTCCACTTACTGCATAGTGCATACTAAGGACATTTATTATGCCCGTTTAGTGCTGAGTAGTGCGTAAGATTTTACTCTTTATGACAGCAGAGGCGCTCTTGATTCAAGGTAAAAAATGTCTACAACATCAGACGGAATCGAACCGACGTCCCGTAGATTGTTTGTTATATTTTGTGTATCGTTGTTATACTTCTTCTTATTCATGTGCCCCTGATACATTTATCAGAACTAACCATATTTTATTGTCTATCGTCACTAGCGATTTTTTAATTATAAAACTTCCACCGACTAGTCAGAGCTTCATAACCATCATGTGTCCACAAATAATTATGCGGTTTAGATGTTAGATTTAAAATATTTTTTTTAAGAATTCGGAGCCTGTTTTCACTTCACGTCTACAATAACGTGATCCATTTAATTAAAACAATATTGTAGAGGAGAATATCACGCTAGGTCATTTTCTGATAAAATATTTATTACTTTCGTCTAGACGAGACACTCAAGCGTGTCGTTCCTTTGTCCTTTAGACTTTTTTGTTTGGCTCGGCGTAGGTGAAATTTTTCATATAGATTTTGTTATAGTGAGTTCATAACCCTAAGACTTAAGACAAAATTATGTATTTTTTACTTTCGTTAATAAACAACGTGTCGTGGGTAACTAAGGGCCCGAAATGTTAAAATAAATTTATATTTTTTGTATACTGAAAATTGTTAGACTTGTCTGGGAATCTGCATATGTAATGAGTATGTATATCGACAATTCCGTTCGTTTCATCAACAGATGAAAAAACTAAATTTAAAAAAAATGCTTGGAATTATGTTGCGCGAGAGGTGCATGTATCAATCAATATATCGAAAAAAATTGACGATGACGTGTGTAGGACTCGGTAGTTCAATTGGTTAGAGTAACAGCAAAGAACGCTGAGTGTGCGGTTCAAATCCCGCCCGTGTCGTATTTTTTTCAATCTAAATTCGATTTTTAATTCATATGTGTAAAATCCCATTTCCCCTCATGGGGCATAGGGCTAACACATTTTTGTGTCCGTTTCACTGATCGATTTTATTTACAGGCAAGTAGGTGATCAGATTTCTGTGCCCTGCCCGACCGAAGCATTTTACTGTTTCCCCGGGATTCGAACCCGGGACCTCTCGCGCTCAACGCAATCCTAAGCAATACGTTTAACTATTTAGCTACAGAGGCGGTTTAATTTATATAATACATCTTAATTTAAATTTTTCGCTTCTATAGATTTCTTCTCAGAAGTGTTCTCTTTGTTAAAACCGTAAATTCAGATACGAATTCATTAAAATTGTATTTTATTATGCGTCACATGCGCCTGAAATAGTAATATGAGTGAGCTTAACTCTTGTTTTATTCCGAGCTGAACTTGGCTAAAGAAAATCGCCAAGTAGTCATCCTCGCTTGTAACAACAAGAGAAGTTTGTTTACTGCGAAGTTTTCGTCCTTTAAGTGAAGTGACTCAGCGGTAAAGATATATTTAGAACAAAGTTAAATACTTAAATAGAACACTTTGACGGTTTAAAACGCGATATATTTTAGTTAAACTTTTTTGAGAATTATTTTTAACTATGGCCCGACGTTTCGGATGCTTTGCAGCAGCCGTGGTCACGGGAAGACTAAAGATGAAGGATGTCTCTGATGTCAAAAAAAATTGCTACTTAGCGCCATCTGTTTCGTCAAAGTTGATATCGGTGTCTTCGCTTTTACCGGGAAGTTTTTTTATTGGAATCCAGAATTTTTCGTAGTTAAAAATATGTTCAAAAAAGTTTACCTAAAATATATATCGCGTTTTAAACCGTTAAAGTGTCTCGCGTACTACAGATAGTCTTTCAGTTAAATACTATTTAAGAAATACATTATTAAATGTAAAAA